CTGGTTTCATTTTACAATATTAAAAAGTTAAAAAATACAAAAAAAAAACATAGAATTATGTATGATGAAATATATAAAACCTGTTCGAAAGTATATCTACTAAATGAAATATACCATTTTTTACATTTCATACAAGTATAACATACATTACAATAATTAATAATGTTTGAAAAATATTACTTAATTTATAGTATATATATTAACAATTCCAACAAATAATTGTTGGAAGTTTACTGCGCTTGAATATCATTATTAAACATGTATAAATATATATATTCAAAACTAAATCTGAACCTGTTAATAAAAATTCTTCGGAGTTGAATGTGTTTAATATTTTCGAAGTGATATCCATTAAAACATTCATTTCTACAATCAAACATTTTTCATAGAATTTGTTTGATTTGATTAAAATTTTTTTGAAAGTTAATTGTATAATTTGTATATATAATGTGTTTTGTATATATTGCTTAATACAAAGCACCTAATGCCATCCGATTCTCATCATATAAAATTAATCGAAAATGTTTGATTTCTCGAACTTGTCTAAAAATAAAATTTTAAAATTTAAATTTGCCTAAAAATATGTAATTGAAAACCTCAACTTAATATGAGCTTAAAGCATACCTGCTTTTGCGCATTTTTTTTAAGTATTTTAAATTCTAAAATTCAAATTAAAAAAAAAGTTTTTAAAGCTATTGAATTTATCTGGCAATTCGATTTAATTTTCGATTGGAATAGATTTCGAATCTCAAACGTAAAAGAATTTCGACCTTTAAAGAATCTTTAGCTTGTTCTCTTAATCTATTCATTCTAACAAGATAACCTCAATTAAATTTATTTTTCCAAAACGCAAGTAAAGCGCGGTTATATAATTTAAAAAAATTACGTTAAACTCATCTTTACTTTTAAAGAATTTTTTTCCTGACATCTAAATGTGGTATGAGCTTCAATGCAAAATATTTCTCCATAAACTCACTCATCTTCAAAAAAATTTTTTTTTATAATTTGCGTCTTTATTTTTTGATTTTTCTTAAAAATATTTTATGATTTCGTAGGTCAGGTTTTTTTTTAACTATAAACACAATTAACTAAACTAAGTTATGATGTTAATTAATACATGTGTACATACATATGTACAAATATATATAATACGTATACTTATATAAAAATATTTAAACAAAAATAAGTGTGATGTTTACAAAAAAAAAATTCGTATAGATCGTAACTTTTTTTCGCGTTTTAATATTTTAACTTTTATAAAGAAAATGTCATAAAACGCCAAAAAAATTTGAAAAATGATTAATAAGTAAAAGTGGACAATAAAAGAAATATTTAGAGGCGTCATTTATTAAAAAATTTCTTTTAGTTATGATAAACCAAATAGATTCAAAGAGAAAAAAACACCTGATTGGAGCAAACTTTTTCCATTTTAGTTTGTCCAACAATAGGGCGACAATGGATTCGTTATTTTATTTTTTTACTTTTCTAATTATATTTTATATTCTGCTCTAATATTCGAATTACAGAATATGTTGTACCACTAGTACTTCTTATAATTTCTTACATAATTCCAAAATTGTAATATTGACATTAAAAATTAAATAACATTTATTTAAAATGTTTACTTCTTTGAATATCAAACCATAATTTTTGTCGAGATTTTATACCTTTCATTTTCACGTCAATATCTGAATATACGAGTACTGACATATTTATGCCTAGTAAATTGTGACTGTAACACAGACTTTGTGACTGATTCTATTGCTTTTAATTTCGTTCATTTTCCAGTTGAATTTCAAGATATTTCAGCAGTGGAAATTATGAATTTGTATTTTCTTTCCAAATGATCATAATGTATAATAATCTGCCAATTCTTATATCGTTAGAATATTTTCAAAAATAATTCTTACTTTCGAATTCGAAGTGAAGAGCGGCGGCGAATATCGACAAACATATTTGTTGCCATATTTTAATTGCCGTTCAATTGCGATATTTTATCTTTGCATTAAATATTTAATACATATACAAGTAAATATATTTGAAATGCGATAAATTTAAAATTTATTTGAATTCTAATTAATTTTTATAATTTTTAATTTTATTTGAATTTGAATGAATTTAAAAACATTTTTTTAAAACAATTCTCTATACGCAATTTGAAAGATTGTAGATTAATCAAAACTGAATTTTGAAACTCAAAATATTGATCAGAAACGCTTTTTTATGGTGGAACTCATAGTAGATTTGAACAAAATTTGTCATAAATTCTTATATAAACTCTTTTTTCATTCACTTATGTGTGGAATAATTTTTCTGTTCGTACTTGTTCGTAGAAGCTATAAATTATCGCGTTTTTCTCACCACAATTTTTTTTATAAATATCCATTACAATATTAGATAATTTTATATTTTTAAATTATTTCTAAAATCTTTAATAATTAATTCCATAATTATACAAAACTTTTGGCTCATCATATGTATATGATTAAGAGTTCAATGTTCTTAAATTCAAGGTGAAATTTCAATACTAATTTTCTACTTTTTTCTTTTAATATTTTAGTAAATGTATTATTCAATGTTATTATGAAAAATTAAGTTTAAAATCATAAATAAAATTTTTTGAAATTATTTGAAATAAAATCTCCTGATTGCATCAAAATTAATTGATGCGAACAACTGCTTAAAATTGCTAACAATAGAATTTTTACCGACCGTATTGTGTAAACAATAGGTAGGTTATGTGATGGCAACAAATTTTGCATATCGAGTTTTCGGTGGGAACGTACTTCTCCATAGTAGGGAAGTGTAAATAAACTATTTTTAGCAACCTGTCGGTCTGTCGGTCTGTCGGTCTGTCGGTCTGTCCGTCTGTCGGTCTGTGTGTGCACGCGTGTATCTCAAGTTCGGCTGAACCGATTTTGATGAAATTTTATATGTAAGTTTGTTTCCACCATGGCACGGATCGATCAACTTTTGGTATATATCAGGCCTCGGGAACTGCACTTTTTAGCGGGCCTGTTTTACATTTTTGAACATTTTGAAGAAAATATTCAACCGATTTACTTGAAATTTTATATATAAGCTCAGCTCGACCGTCCGCAAAAATTCGTATGTTTTCGAAGAAATCAGGCATCGGCAACTAGACGTTTACTACGGGCCAAATACACATTTTTGTGTATATAAAGAGAAATAATCAACCGACTTAATTGAAATTTAATATATGAACTCCTCGTATTAAAACAATGAACATATAAATTTTTTGGAAAGATCAGGGCTCGAAAACGGATTTGCGGGCCGAATTTACATTTTACACCATTTTGAAGAAAGTATTCAACCGATTTACTTGAAATTTCATATATAAGCTTTGCTCGATCATACGGAAAAATTCCTAACTTTTGGAACAAATCAGGCATCAGCAACTGGGCGTTTACTACGGGCCAAATATACATTTTTGTGTGTATAAAGAGAAATAATCAACCGATTTTATTGAAATTTAATATATGAATTCCCCGTATTAAAACAATGAACATGTAAATTTTTTGGAAAGATCAGGCATCGGCAATTAGACGTTTACTACGGGCCAAACATACACTTTTGTATATATAAAGAGAAATAATCAACCGATTTCATTGAAATTTAATATATGAATTCCTCATATTAAACCAATGAACATATAACTTTTTTGGAAAGATCAGGGCTCGAGAACTGATTTGCGGGCCGATTTTACATTTTTCACCATATCCACAGAACAAATTGATGGAATTTCTTGAAATTTGATATTTGAGTTCTGGTTGTTACCGAAACTAACTAGCAAGCATTTCAGGGAATTCGGGTAGCACAAAGCGAAACTCTGCTAAGAGCCAAATTTACATTTTTCTAAGTATGTTAACTATAAGCTTACTAATGTCCTAAAAATTGGAAAGAAGTATTTAACAGACATTTTTATAATATTCTGTAACACTTTCATTTAACTAGACAATACACAATGCGGTCGGTTATGTGCTGACCACATCAGATTTTTTTTCTTAATATATTAGAAAAATTTTCAATAGAATTGAAAACGGACTATATAATTCATTTTATGCAATTTATCATTAATATATTTTCAGTTTTTTAAAAACGTAGGTAGTATTCGAGAAATCGATAGATTTTATGAACAAAATTTCATTTCAATACTTTGCTTTTTAGATGGACTTGAAAATTGGAAAATTAGTGTATGACTCCTCCTAATGTACTTTGTGTGCTAATTTATCACTTTAACAACAAATCAATATTAATCAGGTTGTATGAATGCCATATGCATTTATCGCAATACCAAAATAGAGAATTAGTTATATTAAACTTTTGAGATTTTAGCAAACTAAAGATTTGTGATAAATTCAATTTAAAATTTTTAAAAGAATATTTTTTTGGAGTTTCCCTCATATACATCTCAATAGATCCAAGTTGTTTTTGGGATATTGGCCTTTTTGTTAGAACACAATCATTCCCCCTTCTCTATATATAAATTCTCAAGATGTTAAATTTCCTTTTGAAACCTTAAGTACTTATACAAATAAGGTGATAATTATGCTTTCCTATAATTTTTCAAGTAATTTTAACAATTTATTAATTTTTTCCACTAATTTTTTTAGTGTTAATAAACTTTACACGTGTCTACATATTATATATCTATAAAGAATTATGTTTCAATACTCTAAAAAAATTATTGAATAAAAACGAAATATTCATCACATGATCAGCAATATTTCACTTTTTCTCTATATGAATTAATCTCTTTTCTAAATTTAATGAAAAAAAAATCTCTGCGCGTAAAAAAAAATCTATAAATCTATACAAACAAGAAAAAAAAAATTATGATTTAACACCGACGAGTTTTGGTCTCTTTTAATATTATTATTGTTATTATTTTTGATTTTTTTTTCATCTAACATAGGTATACATAGTTGTAAATATTTTTTTTTCTACTATGACTGGTTACCGATTATTTAAGTATTTACCTGATTACATCGCAACCAAAATAATATTGTATGTGGGTATCTAAGTGGCCCACCCAATCGATTTCCGCCTGGTTTATTCCTCTGATCTTTAAGAATTTCGCTAAGGGGTATACCAGTTCGTTTGAAAACATCAAGAGCCCTAGAAAGAAAAATATTTATTTACTTCTACTTTATATACATTTGTTATATTTTACTATTATTTTTATTTTTTTTTTATATTCAAAAGAGTAAAAAGTAGTTTGAAAATTTTTGCTAACAATTATTTTTAAAGTGGTACAAAAAAAAAAATAAATAATAAATGTGGAAAGAAAGCTTAAGGAAAATTAAAAATGTCGAAACTTTTAATCATTCAAGTGTCATTATTATTGAAATTTGAGAATCATTTGTTGCTGGATTTTCAATGGCAAAATCAAAAAATGTTAAATATACTATATAATACATATGTAAAGGGATTATAGTACAGGATTATTGGTAGCAAATCGATTCATACTTTCTTACGTCATAATTGTAAATTACATTAAAATTAATAAACTAAAACTGATTTTGTGTCCTAGAAAACAAGTTGATTTCTATTCTTCCATTCTCCTTGCATTGAAGCTTTCCCGCTCGTCAAAAAACAACTTTGAACTATTAATCTACTTGCTATTCTATACTTGCTTACTTCCTATTCTATATTATATCCAGTACCAATTACGTATTATTTCCGCTGCCTTTTCAGGAGATTAGCATTAAATCTTCAGAGATCTGGCATTAAATATTTAGCATTTTTAAAGTATACAAATAAAATTTTAAGATATACGGATACATATACAAACAAAATTCATACATAATTGCTTTTTTTAATAAAGACTAAATTCCATAATTTTATTTGACAGAAAAAAATTCAAAATGATGAAATATTAAACAATTCCTACATAATTTTGGCACTAAAAATCATTATTTATAAACACTATATGAATACGTATACATACATCTATGTTAAAAAAAAGTGTATATGCCTGTGTGTATTTGTACATAAAATAAATTAAATTGCCTTCGGAATCTAGTTCGGAAATGTTTACATAGAATAGGAAATACTAAAATAGTGTGGGAAAATATTATGTGGGTACGTTATTTTTTTTTGTTGCATATGCATAAATACATATGTACATACAAATGTATATATGAAAAAGAATGTATAATACATACAATTAGAATTGGAAGGGACATTCGGAGAAAAAATATAAAAATTATAGGCCAAAAAATATAAAACTTTTCGTATTATAAGAAAATAAGTCGGAGACCAGTTAGAATATTGTCAAATATATTTAAAAGTCAAGAAGAAATTTCTTACTTTCAAAATTCTCCGCAAAAACTTAGAATTTTTGAGTTCTATGCTTGTGTATATAAAATAAAAATTTAAACAATAAACCGTTTCAACCTTCTTTATGGAAACAAAGAAATATTAAGAGGAAACTTATAATTATGAAAAGAAAATATTGAAATTGGCTAAAAAATGAGAATGTAAAATGAATTTTCCCGGCCGGTATTTTTCATTCTCTGTCATGCTTTATGCCAGTATATCTATGGTGATATACGATATACGACTATTTGAGTATTTCTTTGATATTTGAAAATTTTAGAAAATTTAGTTTTGACATCTTAAATTAAGCATGTTATATATGTAGATATGGTTATATATATATTTGTGCACATAAATATCCGACAAGCTATTCCATGTATATTATGTACAGGTACAAATGAACTTAACTATTAAATTATGGCATGCCATTAACCTCAATTTAATGAAAATATGAAAAAAAATTCTAGTATATCTAATAGGCATACATATATATATGTATATATATTTTTTTTCTCTAATTATCTAAAATTGTAAATTAGCACTTCGCAGAATAACTTTTTATTTAATAATGTTTTGTTGTTGTTTACATATGTATGTATTTGTTTTTTTTTACTACTATGTTACCTACTTAAATCTTTGTTTAAGAGCGAAAAACTATTTGTCACAGACCAAAAAGGCTAAGTTCAAGTGCTTGTCAAGAGTGACATTATTGATACAAATGATTTGGTTCTTTTTTTTTTTGACTTTTTTTTTGTCTTCGTCTTTTCTTTGTGATTATCAAAAAATTTTTTAATTGTTTCAAAATGACAAGATGAAAATGCGTTGTATACCTATTTAAAAAAAAAAAAAAACTAAAATGTGAAAGTAATCATTCTAGATTTGACTGAATAGATCAGTCAGTTCTCTAGTTGCCCACACTCATTTTTCTTTTCTTTAACGACAATAATTATTGTACCTATGTTTTTTTTATTTCACTATTTTAGATAAGATTTTCAAAAATTTTAAATTTGTTTTTTTTTTTTTTGTAATTTTTATACAAAATATACACGTGCACTCATACATACATACATATGTATGTGTATGTAGCTTTTTATTTCGTTATACGCATTTTATTTATTTTGTCAAGGCGGGGAAAAATTTATTCATGCCTAATGTTCACGCGACATTTTTAAAATAATTTTAGGTATGTGTTAAGAATGAATTTCAAAATAATTTTAAAATTAAGAATTAATGTTTGAATTGAATTTTATTTTTGTATTATAAAAACATTCTACCATGCAAAGACCGGTAAAACTATAGTGTACAAATAATAAAGATCTAAAAGAATTTAAAATATGTATCCTATGAAAACTTGGAAAATTCATTAACAGATTCTTATAGAACGTATAAAAAAAACAATAAGAACAATTAACATAGAACTATTTATAATAGCAAAATAAAAATCCGTACGTATACATATACACACAATTACATTCATACATGTATGAATAATGAATCAAAAAAGAAGTTGCGTACACCTACTGTTTAAAAGTTTTTGAGCGAATAAATCACAAAACATGAGCCTAATTTATTACTTTTAAAATTTTCTTAAAACAACATAGTTTAAAAAATTGTAGGAAAAGCAAATAATAAACTATAAGCAACTACATATATATGCATATGTATGTATGTACATGTCAACTCCCAAACAAATACTCAGGAGGAATCTAAAGTAAAAATCTTCTTAAAAGTTCTATTAGCAATTTGTTTTGGAGTAAAAAATATTTTTGAATAAGAAAACGATTGCTATTTTGATTCTGATGAAATAAATGTCCGAAAAATAATATTTTCACAAAATTTATTAAATTGCGGAATTAAGCCGAAATAAAAATTCATACATATGTACATACATGTTTTTTTTTTGGTTAAATAAAGTCGTCTAAGTACACATTTTACCCCTTTCAATTTTATAATCCTTCCAATTGTCATTCACGAAAGAAATGATTCAAAAAATTAAAGAAAAATAAAGTTTAAATAATAAACGGATCATTCGAATATCCCAGTAGTCTACACATATGTATGTACGAGTATATATAGTACATATAGAAAATCAAATAATTGTCCACCTTTTTTGGGTGGTAGGTACTCATTTTATCAAACATACGGAGAACTAGTTTTTACCATTTTACATAACCCAATTTTTATCATCTTATAAAAATTATTAACAAAGTTACCGAAAAACTCGAGTTATCAAGTATCTATTGCAAGAAATTAACTTGTTAATCTGATAATTATGATTAGAGAAATGTAGCGACAAAATACAATTTGCTTTAATATTATTATTTAATACCATTTTTGACATTTATTACTCTTTGTTTTACTTTTCTGGAATTAAATTGCGTACTTGGCAATACTAAATTGATGTAAATATTGCCACATAAAGTAGGTGATATAAAAAAAAAACAAAATCCATAATAAACTTAATAAAATGTAAAAATTTATGATTTCCTATGTAAATAAATATGAAAGTATTAATCTGTGTGCATTTATTTTGTATTTTACACAGCCGTTCAATAATTTATAATGTGTTTATATAAGTATTTGTGTTTGCAATAAAATAAGTTCAAGAGAAACACTGCAAAATTGTGTATGTACCAGCAAAATTATTAAAGCGACATCCCAGTTCTCTTTAAATATTTTTAAATGCTTCTTACTCAATATAAATCAAAACGCTATTCAAAAGAGAAAAAAAGCGACAAAATAATACAAAATAAATGGGTATGACTTTTAATTCTCTTAAATTTACATACGTCTCCAAATTTTTATATTTCTTTTGCCTCTCATATTCTATTGCCATGAACACTATTATGGGTGTGTGTATGCAGTAAAATTTTAATTTCACTTTTTTTATATTATTTATATTTATTTTGTACATAACACGTTATATAATAACCATACGATTATACCTATGTATATAATATAGAATATAAACCCACATTTTCATACATATGTACATGCTATTTGTAAGTACGCATATGCATGTACATCATATACACAGTTATAATATTATTTATATAATATTCCATGGACACAGTATATTAATATTATATTTATATATACATAAAGTAAATAATTTGCTATAATGAATTGTGAAAACATACACATGTACGTATGTATATCAAAAACATAAATAAAACAAGTGACGCGAGATTATTCTCCTAGTATATTGATTTTGGCGCCAAAAATATAATTTAATATGAAATGTAAAAAAGAGAAAGAGAGCGAAAAATAGAGAGCAAACCAAAAACAGATATAAAGGAATTAAAAAGAAATAAACGAAAAATAAAAAAAATAGCAGAAAGATTCGAAGTACATATTCATAAACAGTATTGCCAAGCCCAAACGCAATTTTTCTTTCGGAAACTGTTTAAAGAAGCTACATCGTATTTATTTGCGGTATATTCGAAAATTGCGGTATAATGGAAACTGACAGATGGAACGTTATTACAATTTTCACTAAAATATGGAATTATGGTTATGAAACTTAAAAACATAACTTTTGAACTTTTCCATTTGTTTTCGCATTTGTTTGCGAATAAATATAACAAACGTTATAAACAACTTCATATTAGTTATTTGAATATGCATAATCAAATTATTCGATTATAATTTAATATTCCTTACATTACAAAAAATTTTAAATATTTTTATAAAACCATTATTGTATATACGTATATGTAACACTAATATAAAGCATTCGGACTTAGACGCATATTTTTTTAGGTTTGCCATTGTTACTTAGCTCAAAATTAATGTAT